CAGAGAGACAGAGAGACAGAGAGACAGAGAGACAGAGAGAGAGGAGAGAGAGAGAGATGAGAGAGAGAGAGAGAGAGAGAGAGAGGAGAGAGAGAGAGAGAGAGAGAGAGAGAGAGAGAGAGAGAGAGAGAGAAGAGAGAGAGAGAGAGAGAGAGAGAGAGAGAGATAATAATAAAGAGTAAGTGAGTTAAAATGCAATGTGGCTATTGCGAACAACAACAACAACAAAATAAAAGAAAAAATAATAATGCAAGCCTGCGGTAAGTTTCCACCTCACGATGCCGAATAATTACCACTTCCCGGTAACATCTTCCACGACGTCTGCCAGGTGGAGAGAAAACGTAGCGACTTATGACGTTAACAAATCACTAACCAGAACGCTATAAAGACTCACATGCAGATTAGGGATAAATGCTTCTCTCAGTTTTTTTTTATGGTGCGTGCGTGCGTGCGTGCGTGCGAGTAACGTAGTAACGTCTCGTCACTTTGGAGTTCCGCGCAGCTTTGGGTGATAAGGCCTACTTAACGTCTGGCCGGGCACTCGAACCCGAGTCAGGTCCTAGACGTACACATACATGACCGTTTGAACCGTGCCTATATTTAGGCCTCGTCCGTACATATGTGAGTATGGATGGAGTATCCTTATCACAGATCCTTCCCTCTCTCCCTCTCTCCCTCTCTCTCTCCCTCTCTCCCTCTCCAAAACACATGACGACATTTCCTCCCAAAACCTCAGATTGATCGCCTCTCCCAAGAAGTGGGTCGAGAAGCCACTCAATACTGCACAATTACCACAGAAACCAAGGAGTGATCTGGCGGATCTGTGAAGCTACGTGAACGATTTACATAAAACTGGGAAGACATAATTTCTTTTTTTTTACAATGTGGAAATCAATATATATCAATGTTTTAAGTAGAAAAAAAAATCACTGGAAGAAAATTATAAGAATGGGAGCAACAATAACAAAGACGAAGACGAAGAGCAGCAGCAACAAACAAGCAAGCAAGAAAGAAAGAAAGAAATCTCTCCTTGCCTTAAGTCTTGTTCTGAGAGGAAAGTGGACATAACTAATGACAACAGTTAACCACTGACTGGCACAACATTAATTCAAGTCCAAAAAAAAAGAAATCTCCTTTCAGTGCTACTATGGCACTCCGACAGAGGCATCACACTAAAAGAGCTCAAGATCTTTTCTCCTCCCTTTTCTTGCATTATAAGAACAGCTGTCACTTAGCACATTCACCGCACGCACATTCATGACAGTCATGCAAGCCTAATAAACCATCTGGCATCAGTACCCAGAACTGAGGGAATATTTTCCAATGATGAGAAGGCTGCGTTTGGTCACTTGATGAGATGCAAACTTTATGTAGAACAAAGGAAGCTATCTGGAGTCGTGGGTTAATGCACAAGTAATGGATGGTTAGATTTTAAATGGTCATTTACACGAGTAAGTACAGTTAACACTAATGAGTTGCGAATACTTACATATATATATAAGCAGACAAAATTTTAAGCATGACTTGGCTATCTGACAAACTTCTTTCCACAACCCCCCCCCCCTCTAGTTCTTGATCTGTGTAACGTAGTAAAAAAAAAATCACTGGTTTCCGCAAAGCTTGATTCTGAAACCTATCATTTAACTCTCATTTCCTCATTTTCATCATGATGGGTTAGGAATCGCAGCTTGGATGTGCTCACCCCTCACTCCGCACTCTTGTCATACTAACTGGACATGAGGAAATGACAAAAAAAAAAGAGGAAAGAGATACTAAATCTGATGGAAAATATAAACAATCTGAACTGCGACTTTATGACAAATAATAAGAAATGCTAGACTAAGATCAGAAAACTAAAAAATCTGAAGAAAAAAATGGAAACTTAATTCAATGATGAAAGATAATCAACACCTATTGACTATTTATAAACAATTAACAGTCTAATGACAACTGTTTGTGATTAGTCAAAAAAATGTTACTTCTCATGTGTCACTGAATTCAATCAAGTTTTCATTTTTTTCATTTGTTTCTTTCTTTATCATGTTCTCTTAATCTAACATCTCACATCTGTAAACATGAATGAGAAATGATACATATATATATATATATATATATATATATATATATATATATAATATATATATATATATATATATATATATACATATATACATATATATATAGCATATATATACATATATATACATATATACATATATATATATATATATATATATACATATATATATATTATATATACATATATATATATATATATATATATATATACATACATATATATATTATATATATATATAATATATATATAGATATGCATATATATATATATATATATATATATATATATATAATATATATATATATATATATATATATATATATATATATATATATATATATATATTAATGTGTACATGGTGTATTGCACTTATACATAACATCAAATAAGAGCTGAATATAAGAATGCATGCCCTTATACATATCAAATGGCCAGAAAAGAATAATGCACAACTATGTACAAAAAAAAAAAAAAATTAAAGTGTATATCAAAATTCAAAATCAAACAACTCCACAAGCATCTCACGCATTACAAAAAGACAATATCAATAACAAAGACTGATGATGCTAATTTTAACAATAACAATAATAATAGCAATAATAACAACAATAATTATGAAAATGATAAAAATAATAATAGCTAACAATAATAATAGTTATGATGGTGATAAAAAATAACAAATATAAAAATAACAATAAAAACAATAATCGTCACCATAATACTAATATCAAAATTAATTATTGAGATGAAAATGATGATAATAACAACAGCAGCAAAAGCAAAAAGCACTAATAATAATGCCAATAAAG